CATTTACTGGACTTGTGAGTTCGTCATTTACTGGACTTGTGAGTACGTCATTTACTGGTCTTGTGAGTACGTCATTTACTGGTCTTATGAGTACTTCATATACTGGCCTTAACTGTGAGGAAGACTTTTCTCGGTCATGCAGATCAGGAGACTTGCTCATGCATGGTGTTCATGTTAATCACTCATGAATTCATTATGAGTGAATCATTTGCAGGCCGGGAAAATAAATCAATCGTAAGACTCACAAGGTTTATTTCTACTGAATTATAATTTGACCTTACGAGCCAATTTTTTAATCAAATGCTAATGCGTTAGTCCCTTATTAAATTATAAACGTGATGAATCTAACGAGTTGGAATTCAAAGAGACCGACCAGACCGCAGAAGTCGGTCTGGTCTTCGCCGCGGACATCAAAGAAACTCCAGCAGAAGGCGATTGTCTGGGCAGCTTTTAATGATGATGCATCGAGAGGGGGCGTTATCATGCTCGTACTAGCGAGGCAGGAAGGCATCGAGAGGGGGCACTCGTGTTTTTATTGTAAATTTGTTCGTAGATAAATTTTCAATTCAAATCAAACTCACATGTATTGTTGTTGCGCCCTACACCACACAAACAGAAATGAAGACGACAAGGACGAATAAAAAACAAATAAGAGTTTCAGTAAAATCAATAATTTTACTTTCAAACCGTATTAGCTATCACCCTTTTTTGGTTCAAAATGTAATCAGGTATTTGCTTTTGACATTTTTAATTGCATGTATATATATCCAGAGGTGGGCAGTAGCGCACTACATGTAGCGGCCGCTACTAGCGGCCGCTCATTTCAGTAGCGGTAGCGGCGCTACATTTCAGCAATTGTAGCGGTAGCAGTAGCGCCCGCTACATTTAGAACATATAGCGGTAGCGGTAGCGGCCGCTACATTTCAGAGTAGCTCTGCCCAGCTCGGTAAATATCGTTGGAAATACTAGAAAGAGATTCAATACAGCAGCACATATATAGGCAAACATTGCAGATAATCACACTCGCAATCCATAGAAAGTTTCTCCACGAACGTTGTTCTCCCATCGTGCAATTCCCTGTTAAGCTTCTGATCTTTCTTTCAATTTGCCGTTGCGACTGTCTCTCAGTACACGTAATATCCTTGTCTTCCGAGAGTATTGTGCCACAGACTTGATGTACTATCCTTGTCTTCCGACAGTATTGTGCCACAGACTTGATGTAATATCCTTGTCTTCCGAGAGTATTGTGCCACAGACTTGATGTAATATCCTTGTCTTCCGAGAGTATTGTGCCACAGACTTGATGTAATATCCTTGTCTTCCGAGCTTCATGTCTTCCTCGTTGCGAAGCTCTTCTCAGGTGAGATAAGAGTAACGATATTTTATCTTGAGCGTCAAGCGAGAAAATAGAAGCCCTCACCCTATAACATAGGAAGCCGCGACAAAAGGAGTCACTGTTACCAATGGAAACCAAACCTGCGAAGAATAAATTCGAACCACGATATTGTTAGCAGTGAATGTGGTGAAAGGAAAGGAACTGCGACCTTCATATTGATTAACCTCGACGATGTGATGGCTTCAGCCCTACTCCATAAAGAAGGATTTTCAATCAATGCATTACTCCTTGTATACCTCACATTCTTACCAAAAAAGGGCCATACGAAAGCGCCGACCAAACTGTACACCTATAAATCAAAATATATAATGCTGACATATGTTCAATTGAACATATGATTAAAAAAAATTTAAATGAATTTTAAAAATAATCCCGTTTCATCTTAGTTATTATTTTATCTTTCAACACTCTTGATGTAAAATTTTCACCTTAACTGCCGTGAAAGTCCTTTCTGAAATTAGTTCTTGTTAATTTAATTGTCATATACTTCTCTACAATCAAAACTGTTAAGATGGGGAAATAAAAGTTTTAGAAACAATCACAATGCTAAATACACTATTTACTTTATACATTCGTAAGAAATAGCTTCGTAAATTAGTTTTGTGATGTTAAACAGAACAAGAGTTGAAGTTCTCATTTCGTAACAATGTCGGTCTACATAGATAAGTATTTCGGAAGAATATATGTACCTATGCTCCGTAAATCATTCCCTGCTACAGATAAATATGTGATGAGCCATTATTATTTGTATAAATGTAAACATGAATAAATTATGTGAAATCTAAGCATCCTTTTATTGGCTAAATCGGAAAGCCGTCTTGTACCTCTTGTGATAGCGACTCCCTCAGAATGTATATAAATCATGCCATGGGTGGTTCATATTCGATTATACCTATATTATAGCCGCTCAGATATAAAAGAAACTTTGATATCACTCACAGTCATACTTCCGAGTTTGTCAGAGTTACGGCGTCAAATATTATTTTTTCCAATGAAATTCCAGTTATTTCTTTCGTAGGTGGCAACATTTGCAACCACTTCAAATTTTAATATGTTCCACTAAGACGTATTGCTTAGGAATTAGACTCTTACTCGATCATTTGTGGAGGAACTTCGAGATCAACCGATCGTCCCGATCGAGTGCTGAAATTTTTAAACATAATAGCACATTATGAAATAATGAGACAGGTTAACGATGGAGAACAATGAATTTAATATCATATGGATGGGTTTATTAAAGAAATAAATGAACATGTTTCCGGAAACCAGTTCTTTCTTGAATAAAATAATTTAAAATGAAAAAAATCCCACCATCGAAATCAGTGTAAATTTCTGGCAGAAAACGTACTGTATGAGTAAAAAATTGTTTCTAGTTGTAAAATTTGTTTATGTTAGTGTGCATCAAGTAGAACCCGTAAAGAATTATTTTTTCTAGTGAAACATTTTCATGATTTAAGTGTAAACACCTGCAAAACCATTGTTGGACAACTGAGCTACTGCGTGAATATTTAAACATTATTCATGGGTCTAAGGAATTGGACACGTTATAGACTTACGTGAGGCATCATTCAATTCTCCTTACACTGAAAGTCTGTCAGATAGCCAAACAAACGGGCTTCAAAACTGACAGCCTTGACCGATGAACAGTTCATCGTTGTTAGAACTATAACAGTCTTTCTCAGTAGAAGTTCGTTAAAGCTGGGGAATGGCGGAAAAATATGTAGGAAAGGACTAGTGCTTACGAAATACCATAAATGATGTGCCTTTTAAAACATCTATAACACCGCATATGAGTACAAGTATAAACAAACACGATGCTTTAATTTAAATGTATGTGTCTCGAACCTCATTTAAATAATAAACTTTGAGTAATTATTGTGAACAGAAGTAAATGCAGGTTGGCTCACAAGTAAGAGCAGGGTGGTCAGTGGTTAAAGTTTGGATTGGGCGAGAAGGCCGGGCGGTGCACAGCAGAAATGTAGCAGCGAGTTGCGAGTTCGAGACCTCAAAATGCTGTGAATGTTCTGCGATGTTGAGAATCGGCAACAAGCCTACGCTATAGCCTAATAAACGCTGAAACCGCTATAAGTGAGAATAAGAGGTAGGTATAAAATGGAGCAAAATAATGTCGTTTTGCTAAATATTTGCAAATTAGTGGATTTAGCATGGTGCCTGCATGTCGAATTATTCAATCAATTCCGAAGTTACAAATAAGTCCTGTTAGCGCAGTTCTAAACAAAAACGATACTCGGCTTCCCTTCAGAACGCATAAATCTTTCGCCTTTTTTAATCAAAAACGATACCGTAGAGTTCATGAGCAAGTTTTTTCGGCGCTTATTAAGGGGACCGACTACCCTAAAATTTTCAATATTGGCATTTTCCGGTTTTTGAACTCATCTTAAAGCTGAAATTCTGCTCTTTCCAATGGTACCACTGCCATCGCTGTACGCCAATATTTACGTTCATGACGTCTCTTTAAAGGGAAGCGGGTGGGAGAGTTCTTTAACTAATTTGATATAAAGTAATTAGCTGCTGAAATCTTTGAATATAGTTTCTACTTGAGTTGTGCTGCAGTTACATGCTTAGTCTCATCTTAAAGCTGACATTCTGAGCTTTCCAACGATACTACTGCGATCCATGTACGGCAATATTGACGCACACGGCCGGGCTTTAACGGGGGGCGGGGGGTGGAGTTCCTTCAGTAAATAGACCTAAGAAAATTAGAGCGGCAAGACTACATATATTAGTGTATCTGGCATCTGAGCTCAGTCACCCTCCTAAGTCCTAACTTTGTACGGAGAGGTGCGCTACAAGTTGCTGCTAGCATCCTTGAGTGGACTAAGCTACAGAAGCCTGTAGTTTGGTATCCATGCTACATTGAGTGCCTATTTCGAGGCGCGCGAGACTTGTCGCGCCGTCCTGAAAAGTTCAACTTATTGTCACGGAAAACCTATCTCCTTCTACAGTTTTCAAGCTACAGCAATGAGAGTTCAAACATTCGATTCGTAAAGACTATATCTTTCGACCTAGCCATCGCTTTTTTTTAATTTGTGCATGGTTCGTCTTATATATGGGGAGAAGGTGGGGAGGGGGTGAAAAAAGTGAAAAAATGGGAAAACGCGCATAAAAAAAATATGGGGAAAATGAAAAAAAGCGATGGCTAGGTCGATAGATATGGTCTTTACGAATCGAATGATATGTGTCTTTGTAGGAGGAGATAGATTTTCTAAAGTACCCGTTTTTGTCCGTTTTCTATGAATATCACGTTTTCTTTCAATTTTTTCGAAAAATTCATATGAGCAAAATGTTCTTATTTTTACATTTTACGTATGTATGTGAAGTTTCATGATGATCGGGTAATGACTGTAGAAGTTTTTCCGGAGGGTAGTCGGTCCCCTTAAATGAATGATGTTATGATCAAATTTTCACATTGGGTCTATAAAAAACTATTTTTAATTTTACTAATTTTAAAATGTCATTTATTGCTTCTTCTTCAACTACACCCTGACTACTATGACATTATTTTTTTTATTTCATGTGGATCATCTTACCATGACAGAGGCCTGGCGCGAATATCTTCAGTGTTTACATGTTGACCTGAAACTGAAAGCCGTTCTGTGACTTCTGTCCAGCGGGTCGTGGCTCGTGAAAAGTTAGGCTAAGCACTTGTATAGGCCGTATCCTAATCCAATGTGGAAGTAACTGTCGAGTCGATAACGTCTAAATTTCATACCCCTTCAGCATGGTAAGTTTTTATCGCTTTTACTTCGTCTTGACAGTAGAAAGATTCTCTGTTACTTGACTCGCTTCCTAGATTGGCCAGTCACAGTGTCATTTATTTAATAATAATAATAGCTGTTTCAGGCTCAGCGTTTATTAGCATTAGGCCGTAGCCTTAGGCCTGTCGCCGATTCTTAACATTCACAGCATTTTGCGGTCTCGAACTCGCAAGTCACTGCTTCAAGTCTGCTTTTGCTTAACCGCCCGGCCTCCTTGCCGATTCTGACCAGAAACTGGCGCACAGAGCCGGGATCAAACCCGCGACTCCCTGCTCCAATCTTGGTAGTACCTACTCTGAACTTTAACCACTGGGCCCTATTTAGAAATTTTCTCATCGAATTAACGACTTCAAGGGTACTGGCCCTGGGTAATAATAATTTTAGGTCAAAACAATAATAATATATCTTTTTCACTGGCAAACCTGGATGTAAAAAGACTAGGTAACTTTAATTTACATCAATAATTTTAACTTCAAAGTGAAAGTTCATGACTTGCATGCTAATTGTTTTTTTTTTTTCAGGATATCAGGAATTACTTCAGTGTTTTGAATAACAAGAGCAAGAAAGAGGGCACAAGTGAGAGTAAAACAGTTTCAGCTCTGCCAAAACAGCAACTGCCTAAGAAGAAGAAAAGAATTCTAGATTCTGATGATGAAGATCCAGTACCTCCACAGAAAATCCAAATTGTTGATCTTTCTGAAGATTCTGGTAAGTTAATTGTCAGTGTAGGTTCATATACCTTTTTTGAGAAATGTGTCAAATATTTTGATTAATAATAAAATTAATATGGAATTTTTAAGGCATATTAAATGAATTTTTATTATGTCTAAATCATATAAATCCAAGTTCAATTGTTTAATGATATTTTGGAGCTCAGTTACTTAGGTTTGTAAAAAATTAGTTAAGGAATAATTCTTTTATGTCATAATAATGTCAATGCAAGTTGCAACTAATATTGTCAATGTGAAAAATTGGCATGAACTTTCCAATGATTCCAAAGAACAATGTGCCAATTTGGAACTGCAAAATTGCACTCAATTGTTCAAAAACCATGGGCAAAAACTATCATTTTATAAATGTTTAAAAATTGCATACAAAAACCTGTAATTTTTTTAACCAAGGAAAAATTAGACAATGGCCCTATAATTGGGTGGAATCCACACTCAGGATGATGTATGTTTTTGGTGAATTTTCCCGCGCATTTTAACTTTTTTTAAGCTATTGCTGTGCACAGTTGGCGCAATGTAATGAAAATTGATTATCTTCGCGCATGTGTTTGCGCAATCCCGGCCATCTTTATTTTAGAAGAAATTTTCTCCAAAGTCATATGGCAACACTGAACACCGTCTGTTTACATTTCGTAGGTATAACAGCAGCAGTTTACGATTACCGGTACCGTACATTCCGTATCCGACAAGGCGGACAACCGGAAGAGTCAGAAGTAACCCGGACATGTCTTACATTTTATTATTGTCAGTTCGACTCGCGTAGTCAATATACTCGTGTATATTGTCGACTAAAATAGTAGAACTATTTTAGCTTTCTAAAGTACGGCGCACAGCGCGTTTTTTTACCAACGTAGTACGGCACACCGTGCAGGTCGTTAAAATGATAAAATAAATTCCCGCGCAGCTGGCACATCTTCCTGACCATGGGGTGGAATGGACTTCATGCATGGGAATTTTTATTTCATTTACAGGTGGCTTCTGCTCAATGGACAATGTACAGGCAACAAGTGTTTGCATTTTTACTAGAGAAATCAGTCATGGGTTTCCCGTTACAGGTATAGAAATGGGTGGAATTTAATGTGAGCAAGTTCATTTTTATTTTTGCTTGGGTGAACTAATTATAAAAAATTTTATAATGCATATAGGGCTTTCCTCTAGCAATAATGACAAAAGTGGCTAAAGCAGCAGGCCAGCAACCAAGAATTTTTATGAAATCAAAAAACTCTAAATGGATTTTGACATGAAGGAGATATCTGGTGGTCAATTTCTTTATTTAAGTGCATTATAATAGGTTGGAGGGCCTAGTAATCAGGATAGCATTCCAAGATAAGAGCATAAAGCTTCTGCCATTTTTGGACAGATACGTGTCCGTTTCCACCTGTGATTGGTCGAGATGTCATCCTCTCCAGGCTGTGATTAATTGGTAGGATTGTGATGTCATCCTCTCCAGACTGTGATTAGTTGGTAGGATTATGATGTCATCCTCTCCAGACTGTGATTGGTTATGGGGTTGTGATTTCATCCTATGCAGGCTGTGATTGGTTGGTAGGATTGTGGGCATCCTATCCAGACTGTGATTGATTGGTAGGATTGTGATGTCGTCCTATCCAGACTGTGATTGGTCGATAGGATTGTGGTCATCCTATCCAGACTAATTGGTTGTGGGATTGTAGTCATCCTATCCAAGCTGTGATTGGTTTGGTGATGGCCTTTGCAATACATTGTGTTTTGTTTAATGTAATACCTCTAGAATTCAACATTGCTATTAATGCATAGATAATTTTTTAATTGGAGGGTTTTTTCTACCTCAAATTGGTGTGGGTTGTTTTTAGAGCCTGAAATGATAAAATAATTGCACCATTGAGCATCAAGTTTTTAAAATTATAAAAATCCCTATCTGGTACTCATATCTACACAAATTTTCAAATAAGTAAACAATTTTTTAATTTTATATTACATACCAGTAATACTGGCAGATCTATAATTGGACCTTCTTGTTATAACTCCATTGATATTTTTTGGGGGTCCAGCAAGTGATAATGGATAAAGCATCATTGATACAGGAAATGTCAACCATTTTTCCTATAATGCCACCCTTTTGTTGTCTGTGACTGGAAACAGAAGTAATTCATACTCAATATTGGTAGGTGAAAATGTCCATAGAATTTGCATCTCTAAAAATCAATTTGTTGCTGTGAGAATGGTAGTTTCTAATCAAGGCCACAGGTATTGGTGAAATCATCCAGTTTTAGGATAATTATTTTCTGGTTCAGAACATAGGACCACCTACCACTTGAGTAAATTTGGTCAATCCTTTCATGAAAATTTATTAAATTGAGGTCTCCTCTGTGTGGATGAATTAAACTTATTAAATTTATAGCTTCTTACTAAATGAAATCTTATGTAATACTATGATTCATAATAAAAGGAGTTGACTGCAGTGAGTGAGACAAAAAACTGATCCCTGTCCCCAGGATGTGAAAATGTTATGTCCAGTTAAGCATTGATCTAGGTGCTCTCCAAGCCACAAATGAATTGCCCTTAGCAGTTAAAATTAGGTTATTGACCAAGAAAAAACATTTTCTAAGCATTGAGCTGTAAATATCTGAAAATGAAATTGTAGAATTAAAATGGAGTTGAAACAATAATCTAATATGAATAATACTTTCTTTTTAACAATTTGAAAGTTATGCCATCATATTTTTCTACAGAAGCAATGAAGCATGCATAATTTCTTAATCACTGGATGAATAATTGAATACAAGCAACCATTTCTAGCACCATTTGATTCCCCATTCCCCATTTGACAAGCAATCTGCAAGTTTTAAATAGACAAATTTCGCAAAAATTCTAAGTTTACTTGTACCACTTTTCCCATTGCGTTAGTTTGTACCAACCAAAAGTTTTAACTTTTGACGAGCACATCTATAACTCTTCTAACAATTGATTTAACTTGGATTTGAATTCATTTTAATTGTTCCAGTGATGAACCCAAGTTAAATAGGTCCATCACAACTGGATTTTAAAAATCTTGGCTGTGATCACCATGTCTTTAAGAATAGGAATTATCTCCAGTTATTTGAACGTGAAAGTAATGCTGAACAATGCCAAGACCTAATTTGGTCTCATCATATGTAACAAATTTAAAGTAAAATCTAATTGAATCTTCTATCAATATTTTATTAAAATATTTGGGCTCTTTTATGCCAGTTGTTCTTGTGTGACATGTTTTTGTTATTGCTTCAAGGTTGTCTCTGAAAACTTAGAAAAACCGCATATCTTTTGTGAGGACTGATTAAATTTAAATGGCTGCTAGAATGCAATTGCAGCCATCAACTGTGATGAAGCAAGTGATTTAAATATATATCCAAAGAAGACAGGAAACAATAGATCTTGCACCAGACTCTCTCTTTATGCCTTGCACATAGATCTATAGGTAAAAAATTCCTGTTGTGTACTAACCTACTCTAACCCAACCTAACCTATCCTATCCTAACCTATCCTCTCCTGTCCTATCATATCCTAACCTATCCTAACCTAGCCTAACTTAACCTATCATATCCTAACCTAACATATCCTAACCTATCCTATCCTGTCCTATCCTACCCTATCATAACCTAACCTAGCCTAACTCAACCTAACCTATCCTCTCCTATCCTATCATATCCTAACCTAACCTAGCCTAACTTAACCTAACATATCCTATCCTAACCTATCCTGTCCTATCCTATCATATCCTAACCTAACCTATCTTAACCTAGCCTAACTTAACCTAACCTATCCTAACCTAACCTTGTTTTTTTATCACTGTACAGATGATGACATATTCCTCAACACTACAAGAACTGGTGAGAAGAAATCAGATATGAAAAAATCGAAAAGGGCTAAAGCTAACAACTCGAAGACAAGAAAGATGGAGAAGAGTCCAGCCAAGCCTTTGAAGCCAGTGACACCTGCTATGTTCTTCAGCTCTGCTGCAGCAAAGAAATCTGATGCTGCTACTGAAAGGCACAATGTTCAAGATAAAAAGAGAAAGGTTAGTAAATAAATTTACATTCCTGATACACCTTATTTCAGTTTATTTTTTTGTGTTTTATATTAAAATGTTTACCGTAATCTTGATAATTATCTAGTAAATATTCCTATTTATTTTTACAGGCTCATGATTCTTCTGTAGAAGATGAGGAGTCCCCATACCCCAAAGCTCCTAAGCTGGAGAGCAAGGCTGGTTGTGGCACTAGGAGTGGAGCAGCAGACCTACAGTTATCTTCATCTCCAAAATCAAAAACTCCTATCAAGAAGGAAAGTTTGTTGATAAAGGAGGAGAGCAATACACATCCTTGTCATGAGAGTGCCAATGATTTGAAACAGACCTGCAAAAAAACTAATCTGAAGAAACAAATTTCATCATCAAGTAACAGTGATTTAAGCCCTCCCAAACCAAATGAAAATAGTCCGCCTAGTAAGAGCTCTCAAGCATCTGCTAGTTCATACAAGATCCCAAAGATTAAACACAAAGAATGCTCTACACAAATAACAGATCAGTCTAAAAAGTCCCCGAACAAGTCTCCTGTTAAGAAGTCATCCAAAGACGTAAAATTAACATTGGAAGCGGATCATAGAAAGAAATCCAAAACAAAAGCCAAGTCTTATGTGATGGAGGTGGTACCTTCATCACCTACTAAAAGCAAGAGTTCTAGTCTCCAAAAGCAATTGCCTGCAAGTCCTGATCCTTTCTTAGATGACAGTGTAGTTGCTAGTCCTGATAAGTCAATCTTGGTAGAGAAGAAGAAGCAGCAGGCGAAGGCATACCAGAAGTACCTTCAACGGGCTGGACCAAGAAATCCCGGCAGTAAAATGGTTCCTGAGGTTAGTGCTCATTAATGTCTGAAATAAATTTTGTTTAGGTATTGTTTACTTATTAAATCAAGTATTGTGGTAAAAACTATGTTGATTTTGCAAATTTTTATTTCATTCATAATAGTAATATTTATTTCAATGAATACTACTGAGTATTTTATTCTTCTGACACTAAATTTCAGCTTCTATGCATGCTTTTTATACAGGCAAAATGGTTGATTTATTAAAATATTTCTATGATGGATGTTTGAACTTATACTCCACCAGGGTGCGCCAGGGTGTTTAGCAGACCTGTCATTTGTGCTCTCTGGAGTGCTGGAGTCGCTGGACCGTACTGAAGTGACTGAAATAGTTCAGCGCTATGGCGGTCGCGTCGTGGGGTCAGTTTCTAAGAAGACTACGCACTTGCTCATTGGTGACGATGCAGGGGCTTCAAAGATGGCTAAGGTTGGACAAAATTTAGCAGATCTTGTATAGCAGATATTTTTAGCAGATATTGTATACATATTACCAATTAATTTTTAGGAGTTGTAGTACTCTAAAAATATTTTTTAATAATCTAGATACCAGATGCTGTGTTATAATTGTTAAATCAGACTAAATAAGGTACAATATTGTTTATTTGACATTCATACTACTGTAATAATCAATGTAAGAAAAATAATTTGTACCCAAATCAACTATTACATCAGTGATCTCATTCAGGCAGAGCAACTGGGCACCAAAGTAATCTCGGAAGACGATTTTCTGGAAATGCTGCGGACTCGTCCTGGTACAGCCCCTGCTGCAGGTATTCCACTCATGATAGCAGGCTTTGTTTAAAACAAGAGCATATCTTGTGTACAATTTCCTTATCATTCAGCTCAATTTGGTAAATAAGTTTTAGCGAGTAGAAAGTTTGAACATGAGATAAAAATAGGTAATATAAATTATGCTATAGGACACCTGGCTTAAAGAACTACTTCTCCCCAACTATGCCAATATTGCTCCCATCAATATAAATTCGGTTTTTATATTCTTTTCCCTTTGAATTTATCAAATTTACTTCTTGTGTATCTTCAAAACAAGACATGCCTATCTGTGTAGACTAAGTTTTCATGTTCTCATTATTTAGTTTGCATTTGAGTTTCACATTTGTATTGAAATTTATCTATTACTATACAAACTATTGGTACTTTTGACGATAGAAGTGAAAAATTGTAACTGATTAATGATTCAATTTGTATACTGCAGAGGAAAGCCCCGTTGCTTCTTCTGCAAAGAACTCCACTCCTAAGGCCAATAAAACAGTCAAGTTGTCTGCAGCGCGGAAAAATTCTTCTTCTTCTTCAGCTTCTCCTGGAGTGTGTGATTAAAAAATAATAATTTTTTGTCTTAATATTATTGTTCTGTTTGTGGCTTATCAGATTTATTGCACGTGTCAATTTTTATCATTATATCTACTTCTTTTCCATTGTGTCAATACTAGCCTTATGAAATTTTTAATTGGCTTTACAGCTCCGCCAAGTGCAGTCATTTTCACTGAGACGCCTTGAATTTAAATTACCCATCACTGGATTTGAGCCACTCTTTTTCTAGAACTGCCAATGATATCTTTGGAATAATCAACTTTTTCCAGATTATTGCTGAAGGCAGTCCAATGTCCTCGCAAAACAGCATTAGCAGCTCGCAGCCTTTGACCCAGCCTCTTGACACTCAAGATTTGCAAGATCGCAACTCAGAAGAACTCATGTGGGTGGATAAATACAAGCCTGTGTCTCTGAAGAATGTCATAGGCCAGCAGGGCGACAAGAGCAATGCCAGGAAGTTGCTGCACTGGCTCAGTAACTGGGCTCAAAATCATTCAGGCGGCAAGAAACTTGCCAAACCAAGTGCGTTTTGGAATATTTCATGCATTTATTGTAATATTTATTTTTTTGTTCTTTATTGTAGTGGCTAAATCAATGATGTATCTACAGCAATCTATCGTAACGGTTATTGGTTTGTTTCATTAAAGCAACATCTTGATGCTGCTCTGTTAGTTCTATGCCTTGAAATTTCACTAACTAATGAGTTTCTACCAATGAATTTTTGTCATCATAAAAAAATGTATTATAACTAATTTAGAACTCATTTGGTTGATGAGACGGTTAAGATCAAGTCTTTGATCATGCCTGGAAAGTTTACTGGTCATGACTGTGAATCAGTTTTGTGATTTTTCAGGTCCTTGGGCAAAAGACAATGATGGTTCTTTCTTCAAGGCCGCGCTTCTTTCTGGACCTCCTGGCGTAGGTAAGAACAAAAATTAACCTTTTACCTCTTATGTATATCATATTCTTTTATCTAGACAACGATGCCAGATAGATGACAGCGTGTCAGCTTCCAATTTATTCAAACTTTCCGGTGTCTCTACTGTGAGAAATTTCTCATCTCTCACCGTTAATTTGTATTAGGCTAAGGTTTATTTATTATCTATTATCAACCAAATTAGCTTACTTCTAGAATCCGCTCCTCTTTACTTCAGTCGAAGAATAAGTATTGGGCTAAATCAGGGGTTCTGCCGCGTATTTTGGACAGTCCTCATCAGCACCAGTTATCGATTGTATCAAATTCGATTGTTTCGAGCCAGTGACAAAATTTGTGTTCAAATCTCCATTCTAATTTGGATTCAAAAGATTGACATTGCTGCAGTTATCATCGCCGAGTGCCAGTTATATCAGCCATTTAACCGATTGTCAACTTACCTGCATCAACGTTCAAGTATTTCTACCATCTTACTATAAACCTGTTTCTCTATCCCTTGGTTTGTATGAATGTCGTTTGAATTTCGTTTTGTTAATTTTTTTCTCTATTAAATTCATTTATTCAATCTGTTGGGAAGTTGGACTTAGTTCAAGTGTTACAATTCAAATTAATTCTAATGCAAACTTTCATGTTTTATTTTCAAATTTATTCATGATTTATTCTAAGTAAAATCAACCTATTCAAATTTTTTAGAAGTCTTTGCTCAAGAAGGGCGTTTCTTTATGACGTCACCTGCAAAGATCACTTTTTAAACCTTAGCCTTAAATCTTTATCTCAAATTTCTAAAGCATCAAAACCTTCTACTGTTCTAGCTATTTTTCTCGTCCAACCTTCCACCCTTTAAACTGATTTCTGCTCTTTTCCTGCAATTATTCTTCCTTCAAAAAGTGGTATTGTTGTTGTTAATTGCGTCCGTCACGCTCGCCGGGGGGGGGGAGGCCCAGGAGGTGGGCGGGAGGCCGGCACCGGAAGAGGGGAGGGGGGCGAAGGCAGGGAGAGTGGCCAGGAATGCCGCCACCTCCACGGGGTTTTCCCACAGTGAGGAGACGCTGAGGGACGTGGGGAAGGCGGGGCAGGCGAAGAGGTGCTGGACCGATTGGAGGAAATCCTCGCACTCCTGGCAGGCGGCGCTAGGGGAGCGTCCGATCCTAGCGGAATAGGACGCCAGGGAGCTCAGTATCCCGAGCGGAGCTGGGATAGCGCCGAACGGTAGGGGCGAGGGAGTGAGGCCTCAACCGATGCAATCGGCGGTGGCGGGGCAGCGAGGACGGCGTTTAAGGCGTCAGTCGCCGCGATGCGGGAGGCGATCTCCCTGCGGAGAGACAGCTTGGCTTCTTCGTATGCACCGGCGGGTAAGATACCATTTGCCAAGAGTGGTGTGACAAGGTGGCCGAACCTCGACTGAATGGAGGCTTTCGTGGGGCAGTACCCAAGTGGAGCAGAAACAATGCGGAATGAGGTATGGGAGGGCTGAAGGGCGCTGGCGATGAACTGAGCACAATCCAGGTCCAGGTGCGCTGACAAAGGGAGGACGCCGGTCTCCTGGTAAAGATGGCAGATCGGGGCCGGTGGCTAGTCTCAGTGCAGTGTTTTGAATTGTTTGCAGACTGGTAATTGCTGTGCGTGAGGCAACAGGGTACCAGATGGGGGCCGCGTAGTTGAGGATTGGGCGCGTGATGGTTCGGTAGGTGGCAATAATGTCCTCCTTGGAGAAGCCCCAGTTGGTACCAGCTAGGGCTTTTTAGATGCGAAGAGAACCAGTCGCTTTCGTGGCTATGGCTCTTGCATGAGGGGAAAACGTGAAGTGCGTATCCCAGGTGACGCCTAGGATTTTAGGGGTTTTGTCCAGAGGGATGATGCCGTTGCAGATTGTGGCAGATGGTGGTACCGGGATTGGTGAGTATCTGGGGTGAAGAGTGTGACCGAGGATTTGCCTTAGCCACGGCCAGTTTCTTGTCCACCGACCAATCTGAGATGCTCCGCAGGAGCACGGCGAGCTAAGCCTCCGCAGCGTCGAGCCTCGGGGACGACACGAAGATGGTAAGGTCGTCCGCATAAGAGGCAATGTTGGGGGTCGGAACTGGGATGTCGGAGATGAAGTGGTTAAAGAGGGCCGGCGAGATGACCGAGCCCTGGGGCACTCCGAAGTGAACAGCCCTGAAAGGCGACTGCGTTCTGAGGTAGAGGCAGGACGCCAGCCTGCCTCTAAGGTAGCAGCACAGCCAACGGACCAGGTTATGATGTAGGTCCGTGCCGCGATCATGCTCAGAAGGAGAGGGTGGTCGACGCTGTCAAAGGCCTTCGAGAGGTCGACTACAGCGGCGATTGTGCGGGCTGGAGGGCGCCGGGAGTTAAACCCGTCGCGATCTGGTGCGCGAGCGGGAGGAGGACGGTGACTGACTGACTGTGGAGTGTCCCAGCTTGAAACCATGTTGCGAGGGAACGGTGGTGAAGGATCTTAAGATGTATGGAAGCACAAGACGCTCTAGGATCTTGGCTGCAGGGCAGAGGAGGGAGATACGGCGGTATGAGGAGCCCTGGTTTCCGAGTTTGCCCGGTTTGAGGATTGGAATAATTATCGAATTTTTCCAAATGGATGGGATCGAGGCTGTGGCGACGGAGATATTAAAAATTCGGGCGAGAAACTGGAGACCACGTGGCCCGAGGTGCTTGAGGTGAAGGACCGTGAGGCCATCTGGACCTCGAGCGGAAGAGTTGTTGGCGGCTGCGATAGCAAGCTTCACCAGGTCGGGTGTGAAAGGGGAGAAATCCCTTTCGAGGGGATGTTCAGCCCGGATTCGACGTATGAGGCGGCGGGTGGAGGGGCTTTGAGGGTGAGGAGCAATCGAGGTGAATAGCTTGCAGAAGGCGGAGATCTTGCGCTGGGAAGAGAGGGAATTCAGACCAAATTGGATTGGCTGATTGGGGGAGAGCGGTTTCGCTTTCCGGCTAGTGAGCGGAGGAGATTCCAGTGCTTAGACTGGTTTGTGCGCCTGCTGCATGACGCAAGATGAGTTCGCCATGTGTTCCTAGCATGGGCCTGTATGGAAATACTAATTTCCAGGTTGAGTTCTGGGAGCCGGGGGTCGGTTGGGTTACACGCCCTGATATCATCCCGTTGCTCGATGAGCAACCGGGTGTCAGGGTTGATGGAGGAGAAGTCCTTCCGGAAACCGGCAGGGATATGCTGTCTGGCAGCAGTCGTTAAGACTTCTCTCAAGGTCGACTCTCCACCACTCGAGGTGGGGGGAGGGACCATCTCGAGTGCCGCTTCGATGGCTGCCGTGTAGGCGGGCCAGTCAGCTTTCTTAAAGTTGACGTGTGAGCGGGCGGCCCGGGGGTTCGGGGAGTCGACGGAGGAAGGAAGATGAATCAGGACGGGCAGGTGGTCCGAGTTGAGGGCGACTTGAGGAGTCCAGGAGGTGTTGAGGAGAAGATGACCGCTGATGATGTCGAGATTCGGTGAGGAGGGCGGGCCATGGGAAGGGAGGCGGGTATGGGAGTCCTCATTGAGGTAGACGAGGGAGGAACCGGCGACGAGGTCGTCGACTGCGGTTCCTCGCGCTGCGGCTTTCTGGTATTCCGTGTGGGAGAACCAGGAAGGATGATGGGCGTTAAAATCGCCTACTATCAGACAGTTGCCCGGTATGGAGACAATGTCTGAAAGTTCCGGGGAATATCCTGGGAGGCAGGAGGAGGCCGGTGGGATCTAAACATTAATGATGCGAAGAGGGGTGGAGATTGCTAAAGCCTCCATGGTGGTGGCGCCGCGCAGGAGGGGAGAGATGTCTTGCCCGGTGTACGGGACGTCGTGGCGGATCAAGATGAGGAGACCGCCACCGTGACCTCCGGGGCGGTCCCTGCGCTCCAGCGTGTATCTGGGGAAGGAAGGGGGCGGGATGCTGCTGATAGCTTGGTCTCTTGGAGACAAGCCGCCACCGGCTTGTCTTCTTGGCGAGGACGCCACGTCGTTCTTGGCGAGGTAGGCTGCCAGTTTAATTGCGCTGGATTGAACCCCATTGCAGTTAAGTTAAACTGGAGGACGCAGAGGTGGGAGGGGGCCAGCAAGGGGGGAGGCCGGGGAGGGGGGGGAGGCGAGGGTCTGGCTGGAATCGGGTCAGGCCGTCTGCACGTAGGGCAGATCCAGTCTACTGAGTAGAGATTAATGGAGCGCAGGCCGGAGCATCGCTTGTGGGTCCAGGCATTGCACATGGAGCACTTGAACGAATATTCTCGCCACGTAACTGGGAGGGAGCAAACTGAGCAGGGGTGCGGGCCGCACCCCTGCTCAGGACGAGTAGGAAGAAAAGATGGGAGGCGAAGAGTGCAGAAGGTGCCCCAAGAAAGATAGTCGGCCAAAGATGTGGGTAGGGGGAAAGGGAGGTCGAGGTTCTCTTCCCTTCGGGGAAAAAATGAAGAAAGGCGCCTCCGTCCGGTAGTGATCCGGGCGGGGGGGCCTCTGCCGTTTGGCCTGGCCCACGAGTATGCCGGTCATCCGGCCGACGCGTAGGCCAGGGTACCCCCACGACATAGACGCGGCATAGATCAAAAAGTGATCACCACACTGGGTATTTAAACCTCAGGTTTCTTGTGTTTTTTTTTTTGTACAAATGAACGACATTTTTATAATATATTTTGGCTATAATTTGCTTACCTCCTAATTTTGCAAAATTCATATTTCTTCTAGAGTAGGTATACATTAATCCAATCCCGAGACTGGCCGGCCTTACTTTATATCTACGTCACGCAATCGTCACGTGTTCTGTCAACCATCCACCTTCTACTTCTCTTGAACCGAATTTTGAATTTTGGGATTCGGCTCTTTACCATTAAACTTTGTCTGAATTACAAGGAAGAAAATTCTAGTTAAATCAAACTTAAAACTTTTTTGAATAAATGAAAATAAAAGCTTCCTTGATTACTTCTCAACCAATGACACCCTTTCGATTGTGTGACCTCACACTACTTGATACCGGTACTTTCATCTTGAAACCAGTATTAGAAAAAAAATCATTTCAAAAATTATTCCTATTCTTGTATCAATGACAAGAATGCTGTTACAGGCACATTTTACAGGATGATATGTAGATATGAACGGTGCATTTTCTGCACTTTTTATTCATCACGACATCACTATGTAAAAGTCAACATTGTGCAGTTTCAGCATTCTTGATGTGAAGTAGCATACTCCCCTAAAACATTGGGCCTCATCCAGCCTCACTGCTACCGTACCTTCTGGCCTCACTGCTACCTTCTGGCCTCACTGCTACCTTCTGTCCTCACTGCTACCTTCTAGCCTCACTGCTACCTTCTGGCCTCACTGCTACCTTCTGGCCTCACTGCTACCTTCTGGCCTCACTGCTACCTTCTGGCCTCACTGCTACCTTCTGGCCTCACTGCTACCTTCTGTCGTCACTGCTACCTTCTGGCCTCACTGCTACCTTCTCGCCCATACCGTCATTAACGAGTCCTCTTCACAGAACATACACGGTTTCCACACTGGCATGCTTCATTGTCAGTGGCTTTCGCATTGTAGATCTGTCAAAATACGATGTCGGGACTGCAACAATTCATAGTAACTATTGTTTGCAAAATTTACCTCATTTTGATTATTTCAAAGTATGATTGATTTGAAATCTGGAATGTTGTTCATAATAATTTTTTTTACTTTGTATTAACATTACTTATATCATGTAATTCGAATTTAAATCTGACAAATATTCTAGATTATTTTATTATGAAATTGTTTAAATATAAACTTGATGTAACCTATAATATTTATTAAACCATTGTTTTCAGGGAAGACAACGACAGCTCAGCTGGTGTGCCGAGAGTTGGGTTTTGATGCCGTGGAGTTGAACGCGTCGGACACGCGCTCTAAACGCTCTCTCACTGAAGAGGTTTCACAGCTGCTCAGCAATACTAGTCTCAGCAACTTTGCTTCTGGTCAGATTTTCTTTACAACTGTATCATTGCTTATGACTTATACTTTTCCTTATTTCATTTAGGTTTCTAAAAATATTACTATATATAGTACGAGTATAACGCATGCCTATCTAAAATTCTGCACGATACAGTAAATCTGTTTGGTCCTAGTCATCCAACACAGCTTCATAATTTGTCTTCCAGTATTTCAATTTCGTTCACGGCAAATCTGCGCACCCTCATCAGTCAAGAATTATTTTTGTCATCAGAGAATAAGTGTGCAAGCATGGCTGACACTTTGCCTAATTAAATTATATTCAGTATCAAATTCTGACGCAAATATCCAGGTATGTTTTACTAAAAAAAAATCTGTAATATTATATGGGATCGCTGCTTTTGAAACATTGAATTTAGATTGTTTCACACCACGAAGGCAAATCATATATTTGCCTCACTGTCTCTCTGCCTAGTTCATTTGGATCTGGTACAAATTACCAGATATGTTCAACTCCAATTATCTACTTCTTCGGTAAAATAAAATAGGATTAATCCCATCACAACTTTGAAATCTAATTTGCTGCAGGCCACGGAGGGGCAGCAACTAGTCGCCACCACGTGCTCCTGATGGACGAGGTGGACGGCATGGCTGGCAACGAAGACAGGGGCGGCGTGCAGGAGCTCATTTCTCTGATGAAGACAAGCAAGGTCCCCATCATCTGCATGTGCAATGACCGCCAACATCCAAAGATCCGTTCCCTTGCCAACCATTGCTTTGATCTGCGCTTCAGCAAACCTCGTGTTGAGCAGATCAGGGTCAGCATTTCGCGTTAATAATCAAGATTTAACTTGCTAATTAAGGTCTTTTTGGGACAATTTTTTTATTTTTCTGATGCTCATCTCTAAACTGAATTTATTATTTAAATGTATATTTTCTTATTGTTAATGAAGTGTTTGCAAAAGTGATAATCGTCTTTGTAGTGATCATGAAATCTATCCTTACGATGGATTTTGCAAGACTTGATTGATAATTTTTCACTCAAATTCATCGTGAGATTTAGCTGGACCAAACTTCCAGTTTTTCAATGACCATAAATTAAAGTGTCTGCTGCAATTGATCAACAGGGAGCCATGATGTCCGTCTGCTTCCGTGAGGGCGTGAAACTGAAGCCAGAGGCTTTAGATCAAATAATCTTGGGCAGCAACCAAGACGTGCGGCAGATACTGCATCATCTCGCCGTTTTCTCCGCCAACAACAAATCCATGGACTCTGAACAGACAAAGAAAGATGCCAACCTTGCAAAAAAAGACCTCAAATTTGTAAGTTTTGGTAAAGTAAATATTGAAAAATTTCATTTCTAATGTAAACTTCTCAACTAGGCTTAAGAGATACAAAAATATTTGTCTATTTTTTATTGTATTTTGCTTCAATGCCCATTAAACTGCAAGCTAATTTTGAATTGCTTCCAGGGTCCTTGGGATGTTTGTCGACAAGTATTCAATGAAAGCGACCGTAAAAACATGAACATCCACCAAAAGAGCGATCTGTTCTTCTATGACTACTCCATTGGACCTCTCTTCGTGCAGGAGAACTATTGGAAGGCCAGGCCAAAATCTACACAGTGCGTTTGTCATTGGTCATGTAGAACCTCTAAAAGACTCGAGGTTCTATTCAATTTCAAATCAAATAACTGACATTGTCTCTGCCTCTGTATATATTTGCCAGATGTGCCGTAAAATGTGTACCGTAAAATGGGGTAACTTAGACCGCTTTTTTTTATAAATGATGCCATTTTTTTACTAGCTAAATTAAACTTGAATTGAAACATGCAAAATACAGGTCTATACTCTAGCTTCACTCACCATAAATTGCTGGCTCCTGCCTCTCATAGTCTTTATGTAATTTCAAAAAAAGTGATGGTCTTTGTTTCCCCAGCTCTTGGGGTAACTTAGACCGGGTAAAAAAAACGAAAAGTGGTCTAAGTTACCCCGCCGGTCTAAGTTAACCCATTTTACGGTACCGATTTCATCCTTGTAATTAGCAGCCAGTGCAGTGAAAAATATCACTACCATTCGGGCAGTTTACGTTGTGTATTATTTTCTCATTTATTATTAATTGTCTTATTTTCAAATCTATGTTATAGCTTTAAAAAAAACTAATATGCAGTTTATATCATGTAGTAGATAATACTTACTTTTTACTCAATACTTGTTTTTTACTGACCTGTGGTGTTGTTGAATACCCAGGAACGAGGGCAGAGTAGCGCTGCTGCAGCAGCTTGCCAAGGCAGCCAACAACATTGCAGATGGCGACCTCGTCGAGCGAGCCATCAGGAGCGGCAACAACTGGTCGCTGCTGCCCACGCAGGTCGCGTAACTCCATCGGTTGCGATAATTTTCCATAACCGATATGTTGATACCTTTTTGATTTTTAAGCATCCTTCTCATGTGGGCCTTTTCTTTGACTAAATTAATCTCCAACACAAGTCTGTCAAATTCACCATGGAGCTTGAATCAAACAATAACTTGTTATTTCCTTGATTTCACAGTTACCAACTCTAATGGCTTATACCCTTATGTCTTTAGAAAATTTACATTTACCGGCTTAAGCACCAGCTTTTTTATCTTTTGTTCCTTTCGTTTCAAATTAAATGGGATCCAAACATTGATAAACCGCAGCTTTCGCATTTGCTCTACTTTCCTAGCCATGCACTCTGAATTTGAATTGTTGCTCAATATCTTTTCACAAAATGGCTTTCCATCGCACCTGGTGTTTACCCAGATTAGAAAGTTTATGTCCAAGCAATGGTAATGCAATTGTTCCCAAGTCTGACAATAGGAAAGTTGTTTACTGTTCTTATCCCTACTTTGGCCCTGCATCTGAGACTATGTCAAAGGAATTAAAAGTTTTATTTGCTATATATCTTCCGGATGTAAATCTTCATGTGTTGCTAGTTAACAAACAATTTTAGAATCGGCTTGTTTTTCAGATATAAGGATACCATAACTGTTCTTATGCGATCGTCACTAGTTTATAGATATAGTTGTGCGCTTCAGCGTACGTCGGCATGACGTCACGCAATTTCTATACTAGGCTGGCTGAGCAGAAGGGCAGGAGTTATTGAACGGGGAACCTACTTTCTCATCCACCTCATTCTGTTGTACGTGTTCATGCCGAGCAGTGCAACACCTCTGTATCTGATAGTGATTTTAAAATTCTAGCTTCCACCTCCGGTGTTACTGATCTACGAATTTTAGAATCCTGTATATATTCAAACAGAAGCCTAGTCTGAATGCCGCTTTTAGCTCCATTCCTCTAGAAATAGTAAATGGATAGGCCGTTTACTAGCGTTAATTTCATGTCTTATTTATTTTCCGTTTTAAAACCTGACAGTGCATTTTACTTTACTAATCTATTGTATATGTGTTTCTAGGACTAAACTTCTTCTGAACTGTATTTTGTGTTATGAACTGACGATGGAACTGGACTCCGAAACGTTTTCTCTTGTAAAGATATGGTGAATTTTTGTGGTATTGTCTTTGCTTTTAAATTCCTGGTTAACACGTTGACTACAATTGCTTCTTCTTGTACTATTATTTCATTTTTTGTACTTTTTTTAAACAGGGTTGCCAGACGTTAATTTTTTCCGGACAAATTCCGTGATTTAGTTTTTCTCAATTGCGTTGGCCGGCTAAAATTTATGATAGGGGTACTTCCCAATTAAATTTTAAATAGTGCAAAAATAAAATAAATGGAACTTTTATGGCAGAACCTACAAATAAACTAGTATATTTTGAGTTATCGGGCTTTTTTGGCCTTTTTTATTCTCGGATTTGGCCAATTTTAGGCAACCTGGATTATGTACCATTACGTCCTGGAGAAATACATTTCGTGGTACGCATATGTACCACTTTGTAGTCAACGTGTTAACTCAGTATTCAGTAATACATATCTAAAAAATTTAATCGACTAAGTATGTCTATTACGGCTTTATTTAAAGTTGATCGTTTCTCTTTTATATTCAAATATTATATGTAACAGTGAGTTATGCATTGTTGCAAAATTATAACTCTTTGTTATAATTTTCAAGGTCTCGAGGTTTTTTTTATATCCTATACCATGAAGTTTTTAAAACTTTGATGTGGAACTAAATTCATCCATTTGTATGTTCTTCATTACGAGTTCGTTTACAAATGAAGTATTGCTCTAATGCGCGTAGAATTCATTTCCATTTGTGGTCTCTATTCTGCAGGCAATATTCAGCTGCGTGTTGCCTGGCGAGGCGATGTCCGGTCATCTGTCAGGGGAGATCCAGTTCCCCGCGTGGCTCGGCAACAACAGCAAGAAGAACAAAATGGACAGACTCTCACAGGAGCTGCTCTCGCACATGCGACTCAAGTGAGTGCAAGTGGCACACGGAACTGACTCCTTCTCAACTTTGATTGCTAAGATAGACAACTTACTTTGACGAATGATTTCTGTGTTTCATGCCTATTTAAATAAAAAAAAAATACTTCCGAAATTTTCCGAAAGCCTCTGAGGATCTTTAAACTCAACTTATTCTTTTAAGTCCTAAAAGAATAAGTTCTTTTGAACTTTTTGGGTTACCCCATGCTAATTGGCAGGTAATGAATTTTAGACACAGAAAGTCAATATTTTACGAAGCAGTTATTAATGATAAAACAAAATTAACAACAAACATAACAATTCTAATTTTTAAACTTTTCGACCCTGTTAGTTTGCAATTATTGCCTGCTAATTTGCTTTATTTTTTTTATTGGTACTGCAAGATGTAACTAAAGAATAAAAAATCTGTAATTGCGTATCGTCCAACTCTTACTTTATTCCATAGGATCTCAGGCAATAAGACGGACGTTGCCCTGGAGTACAGCCGCTCAGTGCTGGGTTTGGTTTTGCGCCCTCTGCTGACCGGCCTGGAGGGAGTCACCGAAGCGGTGGAAGCCATGAACGCTTATGGCCTGGCTAGAGAAGACTTGGATAGTGTCACTGAGGTCGCACAATGGTCTGGCAAGCAGGATCTCTTTTCGAAGATCGACAGTAAGGTCTGTAACAGGGTTCTAGCAGTTCATGGTTTATTTCTTTTGAACTCGGGAAATTTTGGCTGAGAATGAGTAAATTGTACTAAATAACTGAAAGTTGTTTAGATATTTTAAAATATTCAACAGCAATGTTGCTGAAATGATGTTTCTTCGAGCTTCATGCCATATCAGAATTCCATCGAGCGAGATATATGATGTTCTAGTATTTTTTAATCATTACCTACTGGCATCATTAAGGCTAAAAAATCATGCGTACACGATTGTCATTTTATGTATTTTATGTGTTGCACAATTTTTTCTAACTGCCGATGCGTTGAAGGTGAAAGCGGCGTTCACGCGCGCCCTGAACAAGACCGCTGTCGTCGCACGCCCGACGAGCAGAAAGAAGCGCAGCGCGCAGGAGGACGAGGCTTACGGCGATGACGATGAGGACCATGTCTCTGAAGACGAAGAAGATGACGATGACATCACCACCGATGCTCTCATCAAGGTGAATTATCGAGCAACCTATCGTTGACGCCGTTCAAACCCCGTAGAATTTTACGTTTTTAATGTAGAATTTTGATTGATATTGGTAGTTTGTCTGATTTTACATTATAACATTTTTAGGTTTATCGTTTGCGAATGTAAAGAAACAATATTTTATCATTTTAACTGTAAGGTGAGTGATTTGTTTCAGCCCCATATAAAGTAAGTGACCTGCTATGCATCATTAATGAGTACTACAGGGAAGAAATGATTCTTATAAATTACCTTTCCAGATCAAGAAGCCTGCCGCGGCAGCCTCATCTTCCAAGAAAGCTGCTGCTACCTCTTCTGCTTCTGGCAAAGGACGTGGCAAGGGGAAAAAATGAGCCAATTTTTCTTTAACTATCATGAACTTGTTATTCTGATTTGTGTCTTCCTGTATGGTACTAATCTGTGTTAGTTTCTGTGTGACCCTGACGGTGCCCATGTATTCTTAAATATCTGAGATGTTCTGACTATCTTTAGTTAACGATAACTCCACGCTGATGAATATTTGGACATTTTTGTGTTCAAATTATACCAGTTCCCTACTGAATGTTTTTGCAGTTTAAAACAATTGCGCTTTCCGAATTTCGCTTTATCCTTCTTCTCTTTGAGGATAATATTAAATTGTGGCGTTTTTGACTTAGGAATAATAATACAATTATGTATCGATATTTCTATAAAATCAATTATGTTTCCTTGTGCATAATTGTGGAACGATTGATCTGTACTGTATTTTGCATGAACGTTATTTGAGCTTCTGTTACCTACCTCGTATGTTCTTTTTCTTAAGTAGACAGCTTTTTGCCAACTTTACTCAATATAAACGAGAAAAGTTCAGTTACATTTAAGCCAAGCATATAGCGCTTGTTGTTCAACGGTGTTATTTTGTGCTTCCATGAGCCAAATGTTAATTTTTACACTGTGCTCCGAGGAGCCCTATGCAGTGCTCTCAAGTTAGTTCATATTTTCTGGAATGTTTTGAAACATACAAATATGTGCGGCGAGAAATCTTCGTATAATATTTCATTATCCTTCTATTGACTTCATAAGATTTTTGCATCCAGTATTCGAATGTATGAGAGCAACTAAAGGTGGTCCACTACTAACAGCGACTGGTATTCATCTGCATCCACAACCTAAAAATCGGGATTTTCAGCTTACCTGCTCTGAACCATCGTCTTCACTAAACCCAGAAGAACTAGTGGGTCATGTTGTCTAAATTACGACTCATTCTGGCTCACAGAAAGAGCAGAGAAAACGTGTATCACCGATGCTTACTTTTGTTGGGCCAAACTGGATGAAGATTACCCACGCAAGCTCTCTTAAACAGTGTATCGCTATTTGAATATGGTCCCACTTATTTATTTAAGTGTAGTGCTCTTTTTCAGCCTCAGGGGGGAATGGCGGGAGAAACACCGTCGTTCTGGGGAGTGGCTACGGCCCCCAGGCATCCCCAGTAGCTAATTACATCGCTTAAAAACTGCACCTTCCCTTTCAAAACTTCATTGTTGAAATTTCGTATCCCAAACTTTTTGCATGTAATTAGTGGAAAGACTGAAGCTACTAACCGAATTAAATGTCTAACAACGCAAATTGACAACGATTAACCCTCTACCGCCGTATGTCACTCTCCGGGAAAATAACTTTCAACTTGAGTTATACGTAAACTATTGAGTGTAGCAACTCGAGGACGTTGCACATTTTTAAGTTTACAATTTTCATCGTAAATTACGGTAACTTACTGAATTGTTAACGATGAATTACTGTTTTACTGTGAATTACTGTGTACTGTTTTGAATTGTTAACGATGAAATACTGTGAAATTTAAATATCCTTTCATTCTTCCCAATGTCAGAGCATCCAATAATCTTGTCGATTCATATCGTTTAAAAGCAATTTGGTGAATTAGAAACTTTTAAACCTATCATTGATCTGGATAATTGTTATGATACCTGAAATCAATAATCGATCTCAAAAAGTGCAAGCAATATTTTCCTTGCATCATTAAAACCTATCCTAAGCCCTCACAACAAAATATCTAAATGCGCCGAAAACGTTACTGCCCTTGGAATAACGTACGATTCTCTCCAAGTTCACATTAAACAACCTGACGCCATGGCTTACCGCTGCATCCAGTGCCTCACTGAGGCCCCCTCTCTTTACAAGATGGCTGCAGACCAGTACATCAAACTCACTGAATGCGTGAGTCTTGCGTATTTAATCCTGAAGGTTTATTTTTGGTGAAAATGAGCTCAAAACGAACTGATAATAGGCTGCAGATTGTATATTTGCTATGTTATAGTTATATTTAAAAATAATATCTAACTTTCCTACGTAGTTCATCTTCATAACGTAAAGAGTTTAAACAACTTGGAGGTAGACCACTGGTATGTGAACATTCTACCTCTACTCAAGGCAAGTCGTCTCGAAGAAAAAAAAAATCAATCCATTGGCTATTGCCGGTAAAATCTCAAGCTGTTATCCTCGTAAATCATGTTAAGAACAAGGTGAATTGTTTGACTAACCTTTCACGGCAGGACTCCAAGTCACGTAGCACGTCTTTAAACTATTTGGTTAGGTGTGAGTGCATTGCCCCTCCTGATAAAGGCGACTTGAGAAAGAATTGAGTGATTGGCCCAATTTTTGATAGATCAGTTTCTAAGCTGGATGCACGACAATCGCTGGCTCTCTAACCCGCCAGAAGCATTTTATTGCATTACACAACACAAGCCAGGTACTCATTTATCAACAGGTTAAGTGTGGCGGTGTGGTGGATCGCTATGTGGAGTGTGAGGCCAGCGTGGTGATGGTAGACATGTTGCTGCTCGACGACTCAGCCTACCGACACGCGCTGCATAACTCTGACTTCGCTACCGTGAGGCTGTCATGCTCATCGTTGCTAGGCAATCGAAGTAGAAATGAGACTATAAAGATTAGAAAAGAAAAACTTGTTGATGAAATTGAACATGAAACTAAAATTATTATTAGGTTGGAGAAAGGATGGTAGCAGAGAATTGTTGGTGAAGCCATCTAGGCTCCCGATCGATAAAATGCGAGATTGAGGATAGTTTTATGATCATATGAATGTGTCGAATGCTTGAGAAATACTGACACAGAGGGAAAGTTTTTTAATGTTTACCCATAGGAGCAGTAACCTGCTTAAAAGTATACAAGTAATGGTAGAAGTAAATTGGATATCATTCATGACCTGTATCCTATCGTTTGACCAGATTTTACTTCGATCTTTCTTTAAACGCTGGTTCTCTTCTTTTAGAACACTTTCACTCCTTATGGTCTCTCAGACCCTCTCGGTTGGTTCAATGAATTTCGAACATTTTTTTAATGTACGTAATCTGTAAAATGCGTATCTATTTAGTTTCATAATTCCAGCCTCCAAATACTGGATCCTACCTGCAGCTCTCATAACAAGTTCCTACATTTTTCGCCCTTGGAATACTGGGAGTCTTAATTCCTTATATAATGCATACCAGGATTTTATGCTGATTATAACACGTTATCAAGAAAGTCGCCTTTGATTATTTTTTTTTAGTTCTGCATGTATATAACTCAGAGAATACTTTTTACTTGATAATAATCTCCAATTAATTCAAGAGTCGTCTCTGTGACGTAGAGTGCCGGAGGCCTGCTGAAAGCCCTGGCCTGCGTGGCGCTGAGCGGTGGATACTACAACTGGGCAACCGTATGCCCACAATCACAGCCTGCGCGCTGCGACTCATACAGACAGGAGACCGTCTTCTACCTCATGTGTCTCCTCGCTGCCTCACGTACGATCTCGCAATCGCTGCTTGTTAATTTTAATTAGAACACTTAAGAAATAGGCCCATGGCCTGTTGCCGATTCTTGTACTTTTCGTGACTTGATTCACAAGGGATCCGGCCTTTGGAACCCGATATTTCCATAACTGACGATTGATTGAGATAGCTGCTGGACTTATTGCATGGTCCGTAAGTTGCTAGGCATTTCAATACTGAACATAAGGAATTTAAAAGCAAAGAAAACGCCAAGAAAATTCACCATATCGATATTGAAAACGTATCGGAGTCCAGCTCCATCATCAGTTCGACTAAACTAAAAATGAATAAAATCACTTTAAAAGTCAAAATTCAAAGACAGACATAAAACCTAAACAAGACCTAACATGTTATCGAAATAAACAGGACTAGTTATGAACAACTTAGTCCTAGGGGTACGACAAGAATATAAAATCCTAGCGATTTACTATTTCCAGATTATATGAGCTAAAGGCATTATTGAGACATGGTTTTCGTTTAAAGATATGTAGAGACTCCAAAATTCTCAAATCCGAGCAGCCAGAAGTGGAACCGAGTATCCTGAAATCACTCTCAGATACAGCCACGTCGCACTGTTCAGCATGGAGGCGCACGGAAGAATGAGGAGGCTTGGCGAGAGGCAAGTTAGAACGATAGCTCCTGCCACGGTGTTCAGAAACCCGGCGTTTTCTTTGCGTTTTCTTTGCTTTTAAATTCCTTGTGAACTTGCGATATAAGCAGACTAATGATATAAGTACTTAAATACTGAACATATGCTGCTGCAAAGCTAAGCTTCGTCTTGCCCGCTTATAACATGAATTTAATTTAATTTAACTCAATTGGAAATGTGTATCATTATGTCATAAACTGGGTGCATGAAGTTTATTCAATTTCATATTTTTGTCCAGCTTATTCTGCTCACAACGCATAGTGAATAGCTACAAATTTGGAGAACCTATCATCCAAATGGAAATTTAACTTGTTTAATCAATAATTTTTATCTCTCACCAGAGTTGTTGATACACATTCTGTTCATCTACTTCTACTGTCGCTGTCGCAACGCCATGAGGTGAGTACATGTACTTCCTAATCTTACCGTATCTACAGATACCGAATTCATTAATTATATTATGTTGATTTTTCATATATCCCCTTCTCTTAGTGAAAAGTGCTCTTAAATTATTTCAGTGGCTGAATTCACGGGTGAAGTTTTCCTTCTTTTTCGAACTTAGTCGCCCGTTAAAGAAAAGTGTTGTTAGATAATCCCAGTTTAATCGGCACAGAAATTGTACTTAGTAACCTAATTAGGTGCGTATCAGAATCACTATATTCGTCCTAAAATTCAGCCTTGATCGATCGTTTCTTTACTTGATATATCGTGACAGCCTGCTGTTCCGTCCCGTTCTATACTTTTTCTGATTCTATGAGATGAAATTTTCATTCAAATTTCCCACCCAGTTATTTATTTATGTATTTATTTTTTATTATAGTCTGAGTTTTCAAAACACTTGCATTTTTCATGTCAGATTTTCCCCTTTATTTACTTTCTTAATTGTTATATTGAAATGTCCCCCTGTGATAAACTTTTTTGAGTGTATATGCTGTATTATTTATGTGCAGCTTGCGTGATATCTTCATATTTTCTACATAAATAAGGACTGAAAATAAAATAATGTACGTCTCGGCAGCTTGAAGGATTGCAGTAGGTGTGCAGTGATCGGGCAGTTTAGCACAGCACTGCACGTGCCAGCGACAGTGTGGCAGTTGTCGCAGTGGCCGCTATACTGCGCCCTCGCTGCTCTCTACACTGCACTCACTGCTACACTCGCGCTCTCGGGTATTAAGTCGAATTTTTCAGTTACACATTAGCTTTAATAAATCTTCAACGGACTCACGGATTGTTTTCCTCATGCAACCTAATTCTAGATATCTTAGCACTTTACTTTCTCGTCCACCTTGTTTCTTAGTTTTTTTTTTTCAAGGGAACACATCTCAGTGAACGGGCAATTTTCGAAAAAAAAAGAAAGATTCAGCAATCGCAAATTAAGGCAATTCCGACATTGCATCCCTCTCTTCTCAGATCGATTTTCTGGGGAAATTTCAATATTTGATTATATTTCATCATTTTTTCAGATTGATCTTCAAAATCATTCACAGAAATTATCTAAATTACATTTGATAATCACAGAATCGAGTCTTCACTATAAGTACTTCTTAATCTTACCGTAATGAAGAAGTGTCGTACGTCGGTAAGATTTCGGTGCTGTCGTGGCAGGGCTGACCGGGCGCGGCAGAGCTGAGGCGGGCGCCGTGGTCGCCGCGTCTGCCCTCACCAGCGCCCTCGTGTCCAGCGCCGTGCTCGCCCTCGTCTGCTCGTGACGCCCTTCATACCGAGGGCGTCTCCCCTCACCTGCGCCGTGCTCGCCCTCGTCTGCTCGTGGCGCCCCTCATACCGAGGGCGTCTCCCCTCACCTGCGCCGTGCTCGCCCTCGTCTGCTCGTGGACGCCCCTCATACCGAGGGCGTCTCCCCTCACCTGCGCCGTGCTCGCCCTCGTCTGCTCGTGGCGCCCCTCATACCGAGGGCGTCTCCCCTCACCTGCGCCGTGCTCGCCCTCGTCTGCTCGTGGACGCCCCTCATACCGAGGGCGTCTCCCCTCACCTGCGCCTCGCCCTCGTCTGCTCGTGACGCCCCTCATACCGAGGGCGTCTGCCCTCACCTGCGCCGTGCTCACCCTCGTCCACTCTTGGACGCCCCTCATACCGAGGGCGTCTGCCCGCACCAGCGCCCTCGTGTCCAGCGCGGTGCTCGCCCATGGTTGGGTTGTTAAATTCATTGGTTGGATTGGTAAAATTACCTCTGAAAAAAATTCATGCATGGTTGGGTTGATGATATTACCTTTGAAAATTCATGCATGGTTGGGTTGGTGACATTACCTCTGCAACGAACCTAGCTGGAAAAAATTAGTGGCTCAAAGTTGCTCATGCACTATACGCTCCACTTTGATATCGCAGCTTCCATCCTCTTTCTCTCCTTTCCATCATCCGAATAAGATTGAGTACCAAAATATCTTGTGTAATTAATTTTATCGAATAACTAAATTCAATGACGTACATCGCGCTATTGTATATACGATGCTAGTTACTCAAAGAATGCAATGTTATCGAAGACAGGATAGTCCTTTTACAGGAATATCCGCCGGTCTGGTCTATTTCCAACCTTGTACAGCTAAAAATCTCCATGTCGGGACGATTGCCAGCCCTGCAATGGCAGCCAGGAAAGACAGAACGGATATTATTTACGTGCCACCTCGGCGGCTGCGCATAAAACGCCTCGATTTTCCTGCATAATGTGCCTCGCGCGTCGCGCTCCCTTTATGCCGTTGTAATATTCTTATTTCTGACCTCTTGAGATGTGCTTGTGTGAATTCATGATGTTTTCCTAACCTCATTTACAAAAGTGTCTCTGATCGGAACTATGGCTCATCGGTACAGTAAAATAGATGTATGTTTTGTGTCTATTGTTAGTGAAAATTTTTATGTTCACTGATCTCCTCAAATGATCGTATATGAAATCATGACATTTGGTTAGCACTCTTTACAAAAGTGTCTTTGATGGTGCTTATTCGATACGTAAATTTAGTAGGTATTTATGCGGTGTTCATCGTTTGAAAGAAAACTGATACGTATTCACAATTTTTGAAAGCGCTTTGCTACAAATTTATTCTATTATCTGCATCATCTTGAACTGTAATCTTTCATGTCATTTCAAGATTTGTATTGCAAGCTGTTACAGTATGATGAAAAATATTCAGCTTGTTCACTATAATTGTAAGCGTTACGTTTATCGTTCACATACTGACAAATCGGTATTGATTACTGGCTAGTGTGGAATTTATTCCTTTTCAATGTCGTTATTTTTTTGTACTCTATTCAAGTCTATTCCATCGAGGAAGAAACTTGCGGTCATGTTCTACTCACTATCCGGCTATTTAATCGAAATAAATGTTATTTTTTGTATACTTTAATGTTAATAAAATGTTCATGATCGGCTGTGAATGTGCTCATTTTTTTCACCGTTTTTTCTTTTCTTGTTCAGCTAAGCCATGGAACAGCTGCGAAGGCGGAAATTTTCACGACAAATGATGAGAAACTAAAAAATTGCACTGAGGCATATATTTCTGCCAAGTTCTCACTGGTGATTAGTTGCCCGTTTCTGGAGCTTCGAGCAAATTGTTTTGAGCCTAAGATAAGATCATGGTAGAGCGTTGAGAATATGAAACAACACAGAGAACAACTCGGCAACTCAAAGCAGCATCATAAAAACACGTGGTTGGCAGTAGACGAAAATGTTCCTATAATCATTGGTGGATAATGTTGATAATTGGCAGTGATGCAAATCTGCGACAGGGCTACGGGCCGGACGACTGTCACACGATCTTAACTAAATACGTTCCAGCTGATATCCAATGAACTCTCGCAGGTATTACTCATACTCAATTGCATTTATTTTTACACTACCTTCATGATCAGCAATAATAAACTGTTGAATATTACAATGATCTTCAAGACCCCATGTCTAATTAGTACTTTTTTCGTCTATGATCAATTATCAGAATTCGTTCGTGAGCTTCCTTATTTATCTTAAAAATCCTCAGAATTTATTAAATGAAAATTTATCATAAAGGTTTGTCCTTGGCCATTAAATATTTGACTCGTTTATTTCATCCAACATGTCATAGCTTTCTTCGATACTAGTGTTAAGGAGCACTAGCGATAAATAATTTGTTTATTCATTTATTTGCGTCTTGTTTTTCCAGCCTTAATTTTCGAGGGAACTTTACTATACTCAACTCAACTCAGTCGTATGTTTCTCCGTCCTTTTTCTGTATTTTTCTCCGTTCAAGAGATCTAGTTCGTGCATTTAATAATGGCTGGACAGAAAATAAAAAAGATAGTCGAAAAGCCCTCAACCGCCTCTAGAGAAAAATCCTTATCGAACCCGGTGGAAGTCTAGTAGCTTCTTCAAACTATCGCCAGTCATGAAAAGATCCGGTCAAATGACACGAGTTTAGATTCTATGAACAAGGCACGAAATGAAAAGAATCGGCGACAGGCCACATCAGGCCTACACTTCAGAGCCGACATCACTATGTTATGTTATGTATAATTGAATTCGCATTTTTTTGCATTTTCTAATTATAACCGCAGTTTTTGCTCAATGTAAACGCTGTCAAATCGGTAAGTTTTAATATGCTTCTCATGTTTCCTAACGCAATTCAAATCCTGAAACGTGTTATTCTTCATAACAGGTCCCGAAAGAGGATCGTCTTCTGTGCAGCAGTGACGGCGGCCGCATGCGTGGTGGCCTCCGTATGTCATGTCATCATCATTAAGCTCCGTAGCTTTGCTACGGATTCGGCAGCTAGTTTTTACAGTGATTCATATCCCGCTTTGATTTCTTCCGGCAATAATTATGAATACTCTAGAAAAAATATGGGAAATATGAAAATATGTACAAACCATATATTTTTAAACGACTTTAATAACGCGAGGTCCCTCACTAAAAAGCGAATTAAATACTTTCATGGAAGAATCTCGGGGCCTTTCAGCAAAAAATCTGACATTAGGAATAAAAAGTCGATTACCGTGCCATTTTTTCTTGAAAATTCACATAATGGATCTGAGAATCGCTCGTGCGCATCATTTTTCTCTGTAAACTCGTTTAACCAAAATAATGATATGTATGTTAATGAAGAAAAATGTTTAGTACCTCGTATCCAACGTTGGAAAGAAGGCGAACCAATTTCTTTATTCGATGTTTCGTTCTTTGATGTTTCGAACCACCCGTTGCCATTGTTTCTAATGTCGAAAACAAAACCTATAAAAGTACAATCAGAACAATCTAGTAAAAAACTTCACCATTTGTTTATATCTAAATTTATAGATCGGCTGAATGGTAATCATTCGGATATGAATTCATTCGGGAAGAATGAGGTCATTTCATCTCACGAGATTGGCCTTATTCGATCTTGGTTCAAGTCTCAGCTGCGTGAACTGCATCGCGATGTTGAGGACTTTGATCATCTTAAAATAATGAACTGCATGTCGGTTCGTCATCAGCGGACTGGTCGTAAACTGGTGCTGAACTTTGTAGGAGATTCGCAAGTTCGTAACTTAATGGAGGACATCGTGGCAAGAACCTCTGCGTACATGAAGTACGTTGCAATCGAGCCCCGAGGGTTCGATATATCGAAACACTTCTATGGGAGAAAGGTGAAACATAATGTAAGATTGTCTGGCGAACACATAGACTTGAATTTCTATTGGGTTACATCGTTGTCTCGGAAGAGAATGAAAACGTCTAAGAGGAATTATATCTGGAATGATCTTCGGAAACTTTCGGAACATGGCAATGCAATTCTCTTCGAAGATCAAATGCAACAAATAACGAAATCTAGTGAATTCAATCACTGTTCAGCAGACGGTGAGGAGAACAAAGAATTATTTTGTGTACAAACCAAAAAAATTGACACGCTATCTCCAAGTACTGTAGACAAATTCCATGATTATACAGACCAACTAAACGATTGCCGGATGAGTGAAGCAATTCAGAGTGGGCACGATTCAAACTCATTAGACATTGAAGAACTTCTTCATCTTTGGATCGACGCTTATACTGATGGGTCTGCTCCAGACATAGTTATCCTCGACACTGGTCTTTGGGCTCTAAAGTGCAATTCCGAAATTGACGCCATAGATGAAGTGATTCACTCTGTTAAAACCATCCGCCGTTTGCTGGTTAAATTGTCCAGCATAAGTCTTGTGATTTGGCGACCGAACGGGCCAGTTAAAGAATGGTTGGCTAGAGGTGCGGTCCCAAACGCTGCTCTAAATCTAATGAACCAAATTTGCTGGCTGATTCTTAGAGACTCGGGAGTTCAGTTCTGGGACACAGCGCTTCTTGCTCACATTTTAGAGGTCGCTCTTTGTCAGATGCGGCATAAATCGTTCGTTGAGAACCCTGTGCTGGATGATCATATTTGTGGTGACTACATGCACGCTAGTAAACGTATCACAGAGCCTCTCATGACGGACATGATACTGAGTTATGTATGCGACGCTATCTTAAACGGCTCGCTACCCCTTCCTTGCTGAACCTTATGCCTCAAAATGAGGTTGCGTGTGATCGTTTCAATGTAATATTTACTTATGCAATTTCTTACTGTTTTCAAATTTAATAATGCATTGGCTGATTTTTGAGACGTAGCAGCTTTAGAAGAATAATTGTGTTACTAGATGTTCACACCGTATATATTCCCCTTTACAAACACGTCGCTTTAACAGGAATTGGTGACTTTGTATTCATTTTACTAATAAATGTTGCAGTCACAGTCACTACCGCTG